ATACTTTTTGTATACACTTTAATTCCTTTGTTTAACCGTTCTATCTGATTATTAGACAGACTTCTATCCGTATTAGACAGAACTGTTAACGACAACAGCGAACAAGAGGGAAAAAGAATGTTTAAAAATGTTTAACAGAAGAAAGAAATTCATAGGTTTGGGAAAATTGGGTATTATTATTGGATGAACAAACCATTTAAGAACCCTGACACACATACATACATGTATCATTATTTTTGCATTGGCTCACTGTGCTCAGGCGCTGCCGCTGTCAGCACTGTCAAAATAAAAGTCCCGCCTCGAACGCATCGGCCAAACAGAAATTTATCGCCCAATGCCTATATTTAAAAAATGCCAAATATCGGCCGATATATCGGCCTTGGTAATATATCGGTCGACCACTAATTTTGAGTTGCTAATAAGTGGCTAAATGGGACTACAGAGGTCGTTGAGGACATTATATGTCATCGAACAGGAAAACTCATCTACTCATTAGTTTGCTTTCACAGTCGCGTTGCGTTTATACTCGCACTCCTGCAAACTATACTAACTCAAACTTTCCAACTTGTAGATTTTAAATCAAGATTGAAAGCATTGTTAGAAGCTTAGTGGTGGTGATGTTGAAGTCATACAACTGTGATGTAGTTTATTTACAGCCTAGCTTTAGCTTTTTACTTTGGTGATTGCATTTAGGCTTCAAAGTCGTGGCCTAACAGTTAGAGAGTTGGAGAAAGGTCACGGGTTCGAGTATCGGTACTGGCAGGGATTGTAGGTGGGGGAAGTGAATGTACTCTTCCACCTGCAATATCACGACTGAGGTGAGACCCCTGACCAGGCCACCGAACCTCAAACTGCTCCCCGGGCGCATCAGCAAAAAAATGGCTGCCCGCTGCTTCGGGTGTGTGTTCACGGTGTGTGTGTGTGTGTTCACTACTCACTGCTGTGTGTGTGCAGTTGGATGGGATAAATGCAGAGCACAAATTTCTGAGTATGGGACACCATATACTTGGCCAAACGTCACGTCACTGTCACTTTAAAAATTAATGAAAGCTGTGTTTATTTGTAAAGGTTATCTTGATAAACAAAACATGTAAGAATCTTAAACTTTTGTTGGCCACAGAGCTCATTTTCTGCAATAATCCAAAAGCCAATGAAAATCCCTATTGGATGGAATCAGGGTGATGCTCACTTCTGAGTTGGCCTACAAAAATATGTCATCCCTGCAGCACTATACAATAATTGTTGTTACCACTCCACCCTCCATTTACCTTTCTCCTTCTGTAACAGGTAATCCAGGAAGTCCTGCACAACAGATGACCTCATGGTGCAGATGCTGTTGTAGCCTTCCAGCACAGGGAATGGGATGGCGCTGCTGGGAATGCGATTCCGGTGCAAGAATTTCAGGATTTTGGAGGCATGTGCTTTGAGACGGTCCTTGGACTTGGAGAAGATATCCACAAATCCTGGATGAGCATGAAGGGAAAAAAGAGGACAACAACTGGGTCAAACATTGAGAATCATTTGCATAGTCACCTGGCATGCTCAACTTTGGACATCTGAGCTCCTGTCGCCATTGCATTCAAATAAATAAGCATGTTGATTCAGGTCTGCTTCCCCACCTGGTGTCAAAGAGCATGCCTGAAGCTGCCTGATCACATGACTGAGTTCTCCCTGCAGGTTGGCTCCATTGGAGCTTTTCAGTGCCGTGAGCATGTTCTCCACATCAACAATCCCATCACCCTCAGCATCAAACTGACCAAAGGCCTAAAGAGCACAAATGGAAGAGATGATTTTATTTTTTTTTGTCTGTACATTCTGTGACAATAATATTAGGTTGAGGTATCACACAAAGGAGAAGACAAACAGAAAACAAAAGGAAGACAACAACTAGTCTCTCTAGCTCTCTCAAATCAGTTGTCCATTTCACCTATATAAACACACTCGAGCCAGCATGTGAATCATTTGTAAAGCAAATGAAAGCGACAACTAATGTATAAATCAGTATAGCCTTTTTTCAGAAAGCACTAACAAAATGTACCATAGTACAACAACATTTTTGGATATATCTAGAATACCACATAAATAACATAGTACATGAATAAAGAAATTATTCAGCACCAAGATATATATCAAAGCACTACACTATAAACAGACTGAACTATACTTTTGTCTGGGTTCTGAAGGTGTGCGATGAGCCAATCCCAGAATAACACATTTATCCAATATCATTTGCTCCGGATAGGCTTTAAATTTAATCAGAGTTGGGGGAGGGGGGGACATTATCCCGGGCCCTGTGATTATGGATGCCCACTAAAAATCTCTATGGTTTATATACTGTATATTTGGCAAAAATTTTATTTGTCAATCACAAATCTAACTTTTAAAATAGATTCCTACCGCTGAGTTTCTGACTCTTTACTGCCAATTTGTATATGTAAAATAAATAGAAAAACATTTAGTTCACTTATACAAATTTGTAATCAGTAGTCAGAATGACAGCTGTAGAAATCTGTAAAAAGAGCTGTTGGACAGTTACTTTATAAAAACTAAGTGTAGTTTCTACCACGAACTCTGGCAGCTGATACATAAAAGTGTATAATAATAATAATAATAATAATAATAATAATACAATTGTTGGATCTTTGCATCATCATTAAAAAAAAAAAAAAACTCCACCGTACGCCACTGAGAACAGTGTCGTTTTACCGAGCAAACAGCAGAAACGGCGAGAAAAACCCTGGCAGCTGCCTTTGACTCCTGGCAAGAACTCTGGCAACTGATAGGCTACATAAAAATGTATAATAATAATAGTACAATTGTGGGAACTTTGCATCATCATTTTAAAAAACACCACCGCACGCGGCACGCCACTGAGTACAGTGGCTCGGTAAAACTACACTGTTCTCAGTGGCGTGCGATGGAGTTTTTTTAAATGATGATGCAAAGTTCCCACAATTGTATTATTATTATTATTATTATACATTTTTATGTATCAGCTGCCAGAGTTCTTGCCAGAAGTCAAAGGCAGCTGCCACTAGTCGTTTAACCCGCCAGCCCCTGCTGCTTTCAAAGCCCATCACGAGCCAAATCCTAGCCTATTTATTTGAATTCTGTGTGCTTTATTTTGAAATTTGTGTTCGTGTACATTGTAATTCACCTTTTTCACTCTCGGTTGTTATCTATTGTGTTGATTAAGGTTGTTCACCGAATAAAAAATAATAATTAAAAAAATCACCTTTCAGCTTGTATTTTCCTAATACATTTGCGCATGCGCTGTCCAACACAGCACAACACATGTTGACAAATATGATATTGTTGATAACGATGTGTTGTTCGATACGGAATGCCATTGCTGTTTATTTTAAAAGCTGGCTGCTTGACATTTTGTCCTCGTCTGTGTACATTGTACGCGCACAATGCTGAAATATTTGGTAGCTCTTATTTCAATATTCCTGGCCGTCTGGACGGTGCCCGAGTGGCTCACATTCCCGATCTACGGCAATGTTGTGAATGTGCTAGAGTCGTGGCTGCGGCAGCAGGTCAGTAACGTGCGAGCGTCTGCACCGGTTCGCATGCTGACCGAAGATGAGCTGTCTTTATACAACGGAGGAGAGAACAGTAAAGGATTGTACCTGGCGATCTTAGGACAGGTGTTTGACGTTGAAAAGGGGAGGAAACATTACGGGCCTGGCGGCGGTTATCATTTCTTTACAGGTTAGTTTACTATGCAATTTACAGGCCAGATTTGGAGTGATGCTAACGCATAGAGATTGCTGAAATCTGTGTGATGTTTGTGCAGGGAAAGGCGCATCAAGGGCGTTTATTACAGGTGATTTTTCTGGTTTAACTAGCGATGTCTCGGATTTCACTGACTCCCAGATTGTGGCTCTGTATGACTGGCTGTCATTTTATCAGAGGGACTACACTCCAGTGGGTGGGTACCAAATGACATTCGGTGACCATTTTCATAGCAAGTTTCTAACTATTTGACTATTTCTTGCAGAATTCTGCATTCATGAACAATTTTGAAAGAAAATACATTTTATTTTCAGATTTATAATTTAAAGAACTTAAAATGCTTGTAAGACTCTTCTATGGTGTAATAATTGTAATGCACTTTAGTTATTTCATGAATGTCTTTATGATTTTAAGTCCCATTGTTAAAAAAATAATCATTTATAATAATATTTTACCCACAAATAAAAACTGTCATGAACCGGTGAGGTGAGTAAATGACAGATTTTTAATTTCAGGGTGAACTGTCCCTTTAAGGTCTCTCTCTCCTCTCCATGGCCCATGTGCTGCAGGTAAACTGACTGGCCAATTCTGCACTAGTGATGGGAAGTTCGGATCATTTTACCGACTCGGACCTTTGAGTCTCGTTCAGCAAAATGAACGAAACTATTCTGCAGAAAGCGGGCAGCCCACTGACGCTTTGCTACATGTTGAGGCTTTCTTGACTGAGGGGTTGAAGAAAAAGGCCCAAGCTCAGAGTGAGATGCAGCTGTACCCAGCCTGTAACTCGGAGTGGAGCGAAGCCAGTGGGGTCTATTCTGCACAGAAAGCGGGCAGCCCACTGACGCTTTGCTACATGTTGAGGCTTTCTTGACTGAGGGGTTTAAGAAAAAGGCCCAAGCTCAGAGTGAGATGCAGCTGTACCCAGCCTGTAACTCGGAGTGGAGCGAAGCCAGTGGGGGACGGGTATGGTGCTCTACAATGAGGTATTTATTTTTGGACTTTTTAATCTACCAATGCTTTGGACAACATTTGCTATATTTCCTGGAAAAAATGTAACACAAATTTAAATGTTTTTGTAGTGGTGGCATTCACAGAGACTGGATTGGAGTACCCAGAATGCTTTTCTCACCTGGGTCTGGCCACTCTGGGTCAGGACTGTCAGATCCTGTTCACGCTGAGAACCGAAACCTCAGAGAGTACAAAGACTGTCCTCCTCATGCTGAGTCCTGCCGTATCACTAAAGACTGAGCTACAGTCTTCGTCACACTGCAAGTGTCACTGTATTTCATTTGGTTTTGAAGGACTCTTCATCACTTTCTTCAGTGAGATAATGTTTATAGAGGTGTTTTTTTTATGGGTTTAACTTTGTTACAGGCACATTCTACGTGAATGATGCTGCTTACTGTTTATATAGCTATATTTCTAATTTAATTGCTTCTCTGATTTAGTTTTCACTTCTAATTTCATTGCAGGTTGTAGCCAAGTATATTGCTTATGCCATAAAATCAAGATTGTTAATTAAATAAAAGACAATTTTATAGATTTCTTTTTCAATTGTCCTTTATGTAAAGTTGTCCTCCCTTTCTTGAAAAGGATACTAGAGGCAGCGACAGGCTAAATATCTGAGCATACAGATACCATACAATGTGCAGAAAGATTAAACAGAGGCCAAATCGTAGGTTTGTCACATAGACAAAAAAGCACAACCTGCATTAAGTACAAAACAGTTGTAGTGGTCAAAAATATCATACATTTATCTGTACAATTTAACAATACCAATAACAGACTGTGGACATGGCCATCCCCCCACAAACAAATCAAAAACTCAATCTTCCTTTGAAATATGATCAGAAATGTAAAAAAAACGTTGATAAAGTGCACCTGTTAAGCATGGACATAAAAAAGCATTTAAAAATGATAGGTCAACTTAATGCGATGCGTTACGCCACCAAAAAGACTTTTGAAAGAGTTCTCGAAAACAACGATCAAGCGAGCAGCTCCCCCAGCACTAGATTGCAGCGCAAATGTTAACTGGAATGTATCCTTTGGTGATCAGAAATGAATAAAGTGTGATTATGATGCAATGATGACTAACAATAGGCTACAAATGATGTCATGCATATGCATAGTAACTAAGCATATCAGAATTCCAAGCTTGTATTTCTGCACCTGTCTAGCTTAATAGAATCACAAGAAACGATTTGAAATCCACATCTGAAGTGTTTCTCAAATTTTAGTATGATGTAAACTAATGGATCGGTTAAAATAAAGTCCACTGGTTTCGAAACGAGTTTCTCAAATTTTAGTATGATGTAAACTAATGGATCGGTTAAAATAAAGTCCACTGAATATGCAGATTAATAAATGATTAAGTTTACTAATATTACTAAGAACACAACATTAACCAAACAAGGTATATTTCTCCATCTCTTTCTTTTGATTTGAACTCCAGAGAAAGAGAAATGTCCTTCCACAGAAGTTAAAATGTGTTCAAAACCTCAATACAACAACTGAAAGACCCTGCACAGTATGATTAAGGCTTCACACTACTTAAACATCGCTACCTTTCACAGATGCCTTCATATCCAGCAGCATTTCACACCAAACAAACTTCCTTGAAATGTTCACAAGACGCTGCATCTACCTCCAACTGGGTTCGACCTATCTGTAAAAAAAAGTCAAGTCAATTCGAGTAGGCCTACTGATGGCATGATTGCATGTTCAGTCATGCATTAGCCTCGTCATACTTATGGAAAATGAAGTACTAATAATAATCATATAGTGTCCATATAGCATATTAGCCCTGTCAAAAACCCCTATGGTTCTTTTTTAGTAGTAAATAACAGTTGCCCTTCTCATATCACACTTGGTTTTTGCCAAAAGCTGAACTTCGGAACTACAATTTTCATTTGCATCTGCATTCCACAAGTTTTAATCTGGATCCTCGACACGTAATAGTTTGGTTCTAAAATGTACTGCTAGAACAAACACATATTGTTATAGTTGTATTTTTTCCTTTGACAAGAATGGAATGGTTTTGTTCAAGGGCTCCTCCTCTCTTTGTGTCTTACTCCATTTCTTCATCCTCCCAGGCCCAGCCCGTAGGTTCACGGTCAGCTCGGCTGGTGCCCGTCTGCCCGTGCTTCTCCAGTGTGTTAGGACACGCCACCCAATGTCAGCACATCAAAGCAGATGTCGCATACACGCACAGGTTTGTTCAGGTCAAATTTGATGATGGGGATCTCCTTTATAGAGCACTTATGGCAGAGCAGACGCCCACAATGGCGGCTAAGAGAGAAAGAAAAAGACAATAAAAGACTGAGTTATTAGGTTACAGGACATAGGGAAGATGACAAAAAGTGAACATCATTATAAATGGAGTTATGAATGAGAAAGAAGGGTGAATCACAAAGGTCTTTATAGTGGTAAACAGACTGAACACTGTATATTGCCTACATACCAGTGATGTTTCCTGGTGGTGACTCCAAATTTGGTCATACATTCATAACAGTTTGAACCATCACACCACGGGGGCTCTTTGGATAGCATATCTGAACCGTTCAAAACGTGATACATAAGACTAGTTATATATAACTACTACCAGCATCGTAAATGTCTTAGAAACACTAAACCTGTATCACTTACCTAGTAGACGGAACAGAAGCTGCTTAGTGGCAACTTGATAGTTGAAGATGTTGATGCCCTGGTTGTTATTGACGCCAAGTCGAGCTCCAGCCCTCACAATGGCACGACACAGGTTAGCGTTTCCTTTCATGTATGCCAACAGAAGCACTGCAAGGAGAAAATCATCAACTATCACTGAAAAAAAACAAAATGGCATGATTGCTATTATTAAGGAAAATTATCTATTTAAAAATGCATATTCAGTATAATTGGTAGTCCTTCATCAACCTGTGTTCCCTTCATTGTCGGGTTTATCCAGCGGATACTCAGGCATGCATTCCAAAAACAGCTCAAAGATGGCTGCTGCGTTCTCCTTCCCATACTGGCCAAGGACATGCATTGGAGATTGACCTCTAGAGAGAAGAAAAGAGGGCAAAACTATTAAAGTTAGTGAACGTCAATGAATACTGCACATTTTGTGTGTGTGTGTTTTTTTATACATTTGTGGAGTAAGATATTCTGAGCCAAACCTGAGATTAAAGGCCTCTGCATCTATGTTGGACTCGGTGAGTAGAGCACGCACATTATTCAGACGCCCCTGCATCACGGCCAGATGAAGTGCTATTAGAAGGAAATATAAAGAAATGATAGAAATGGAATTTATTCCTACAAGAATATTATAATAAATGTACTTTTTTGCGCTCATATTTTACTGATTTACATTGACTACTGAGCCCTTTTACTGCAAGTGTAGCACAATAGTCTACCATTGTTTCCATTCTCATCTACTGCAGCGAAATCAACGCCATTCTCGATCAGGACAGAGCAGATTGTGGAAAGATCCTGTTGTGCAGCGAGATGCAGTGCTGTCTGACGATGCTTGGTCAACTCGTTTACTTTAGCACCAGCCAAGAGCTGCAATCCACACATACATCAGAGAAAACACAAATATATGACTTGAAAATAATAGAATAAAATAAAAAATAAAATTAAATAATTATCTTTGCTTTACCAGATTTCTGACAATGATCTCTGATCCCGCCTGTACGGCCAGGTGTAGAGGAGAAAGTTTGGCACTGTCCTGCACTCTGGAGTTCACGTTGGCCTGTACACTAATGAGAAAGAGCACACTCTCTATGTCTGAGTTCTGCACGGCAACATGCAGGAAGTTGCGACCTTTGTTGTCCACCTAGACAAAGCGAGAGAACATTTATCCAGTGGCTTGTGACAGCACACATATAGAAACAATGTGGAGTAATTTCATCTTTGTCTGTGGGTATAATAAGGCCCACGCACCTGTTCAGCAGCGCCAGGCTCTCTCTTGAGGATGGCTTCAGCAGCCTTATTGTTCTTATGGGTCATGGCACAGGCAAACGGTGTCATGCCTTGTCTGTCTCGAATATTCAACCGGATTTCTGGGTGGGAGATGAGCAGCTGGATGATGACACTTTGCTGGTTGCTGATGGAGACATGGATGGGAGCACGACCCTCTGAATCCTGCTTACAGAGAAATGGATACTGCGGCTATAAGGGCATTTTAAACTGTGTGTACATGGAACATATCTGCATAAAGCACCTGTTAAATTGCGTTCTGTCATCTACAGAAAAAGAGAGAAGAACTAGAATGAATGTATGCATCTGTATGAACCTGTGCGTTCACATTGGCTCCGAACTCCAAAAGGCACTGCGCCACCTCCACCAGACCCCAGGACGCAGCCAGATGCAGTGGGCTCTGTCCATCTCTCGCCACCTCATCTCCCTCACCGTTAGGACCAGGCCTCCTCGGGCTGTTCACATCACAGCCACTGAAAACACATGTTGAGATCAGTGACATGGAAATTAAACTTTTACTTCAAAAGTCACTTTTTGGAATGTCTGTTCAATTATTATTACGTTACGTTCATTTATATATGTAAGTGATTATTTGGAATTAATTTTTATCATTTTAACCAGCATAACACGCAATTAATCTGATTATAGTTTTGACTGATAAACAATTCACAATTC